AATTACCATTTAAAACATATTAGAAATTACCGGTAAAACCTGTCTAAACCTCATAAATAGTTTGTAATGTTCGGCTCACAACAGGAAAACAGAAAAAAAACGTTATTTTTCAGCTTGTTCTGTCTGCTGCGCTTATGCAGATCTCCACAGCGAAGAGCGGCTTTTCCCACTAGCTCCACAATATTGTAGACCTTCCTCTGCTTGCAGCCTAACCAGCAAGCTGATTGGCTCTTTTTCTTCAAGGGTGGGATTTTCTCCGCGAACAGATGCCATGTTGAGCGTTACAAGCGCTCCCATTCATATTTTAACCAGTGACCAGTCTTTCTTCTTTATAACATGTTTGCGTGTATGTTAATGGTTTGTAGAGGTTAAAGTCCAAAGTCCTAGTTTAACTATTAACTGCAGTCATTTTCCACACAGTTACCCAATGAAGAGGATTCAGTTAATGGCACAGGCCTTTTGATATCCTCTCTCTCTCTCTCTCTCTCTCTCTCTCTCTCTCTCTCTCTCTCTCTCTCTCTCTCTCTCTCTCTCTCTCTCTCGCTCTCTCTCTCTCTCTCTCTCTCGCTCTCGCTCTCTCCTCACATCCTGTTTCTCACATCCTATCTATGTCCATCACATTGCTGAATGTGTTAGAGCAGCAGGCCAATAAAAGTGCAGATCTGTCACCTTTTAATCCCTCAGGTCTGCTAGCCACTAATTAGCAGAATGTGGTCACATACTTCAAGCTCTCCTGCCATCTCCTTGTCTCCTCATATTAGCATCTCACATCACTTGGATTGTCTCAGCTCTAGCAAGTCTAAATGCATGCACACACCCACCCTATAAATATTTGGATATCTGTACATCACCTGAGGTTATGACAATATATCTGTTTTTCATCCCCAAGGTTTCTTGCTGTGTTTCTCTTTTATGGTCCATTTGTATTCTTTTCCATGCATTCATCTCCCCATCTATATTTCTCTCTTCTCTCTGTAGTCAGACAGTATGAATGCAGTGGGATGTATTCAGTACAGAAAGGGCTTTTCTGGGCTGCAGCTTCTATTCTTGCCGTGGATCTGATGCAACACTACCACATTAGCATACAAATCTAGCCTCAGGGTCAGCATTGCACTTAGAATTCAGTCTCCTGCCTTTTACCTCAAGAGTCACACGCAAGGTCTCTTAGCCTGACCTGACCGGCCATAGATACAAAAGAAGTGCACAATGAGCATATAAATATATTTTTCACATATTTGTATTATAATGCGTATACTGCATGCTTCTATGAGCATTTTTTTGTACTGACAAGAACTCACTGAACACAAGAAGTACATTTCATTAGCATGGTAATGCAAGATGCAAGCCTTAGACTTCACTGGACAGAACGAGAGGTGCTGCACACACTAAATCATAGTGCATTCACAACACTACCAAATGGTACTTTCACGTAAGTGGTCTAAAGACTCTGTCACATTTATGCACATTTTACTGTAGCTGTAATGGACAACCTTGCATATCGCAGTTGTCAGAACAAAACGTCCTATCTCCAAAATGCTAACTTTACAGGAGAAGGGAAAAACAGAAACAGACTTTTTTCCAAGGATTTTTTAATCCATTTGGTTTGTTCCATTCATCATGAAATTTACACACAATGTAAAGGGCAACAGGCATATTCAAATTGTCAAAAGCTGAAAAATGACAAAAATGGAGATATAAGGTTTTGTTCCGACAGCAGAGATATCAACCTAAGTTGGGTTGTTTATTACCTTCAGTGTCCTTGAGATATGCACTGTGTGGCTGTGCTGCCTGTGAAAATACAAATCAGAATCCATGTCAAACGACACTCAATCTTAAAAGTGCAATAGGTAAAATTGGAGCTCTAGTTCATAGAAAGTGAAGCAGAACAACATTTAAATTACCTTTTTTTTTTTTACACCTTGAACTCACCTCCCATCCCCTTCCATCTACATGAAGGTTGAGAAGTGACTCACATCAATTTCCTCACAACCTACATTGTTCACAACTCATGTTGTGATGGCACTCCAACCAGGCAGTGCTTGAACCTGTGACCCCATCACTGAAATGTGAAATAGGAACCATCATTTCCTAATGTTATGACTTTACTCCACCTTCGTAAATAGTTTGATCTTACAGCTCTACTCTGCTGCGCCTGGACTTAGAACATGGATCAACATTCATAGCAACTTGCATTTAAACCCCATCCCACAAATTCTCCAGAACATTTATGAGCCAAACTGGATCTGTGATGCTGTTTTTGATGTTTAGTCTCATCAGCTACAGCTTATTTTAGCCAACAGGAGTTTGCAAGCAATTTTAGCTGCAATTATCTAACATTACTTACACTTTATGAAGAAGATTAATCCAAATGTTTATAATCATAACAATAATACAGTTAAAACAATTAATAATAATTACTACTAATAATAATTAATTATAATTATTCTCTAAAGTAATACATGCAGGTGCTGATGATTGATTTATCTGATTAGCCAAGTCACAAATCTGTGTAAATGAACCAGGTTGTATTCTGACATTTAATTAAATTGGCTACAGTTTATTTTGGCCAAGCCTGGTTCAGATGAAATTAATTTTTTGCATATTTTTCAGTTTACAGTGGATTTTACAAAGGAATTCAATTTTGTCAAAATGGAACTTTCACTACTTGATATTTAATATTAACTAGGTGAGTTTAACCTTTCACGTTTGTATTCCTGAGATTTCTGAAAATGACATGTTAAACCTTAATTCATGTTCATAAAAATGGTTTCTGCAATTATAATGAACACTTATTATAAAATTATAATTAAAATGAAAAAATCTTCAATTGTATCAATGAGAAAAACAATCTTATGTGATAAAATGTAATTCCTAAGGTTTCTAAGCATACTTTTTTTATAGTGTTTTTTTATAGTGTCACCATTTTTTGATAAAGAAACTTTGTGTTTAAAGCTATATGGTTTGCTGGGACCCCTGTTACTATCTAAATGCCTTATCTTTAATGTTTCCTTTTTTTCTTGCCATCACTTCTGACAGCCAGAAGCAATTTGTGTTACATTTGCTACTGCGTTTAGAAGTTCCCCAATTGTCTCCTATATCTTTTTTCATTGTGTAATTTCTGCTCTGTTATTTGTCAGCACTTTTCTTTAAAATGTGTAGCTCTGTTTCTGAGAATATAGATTTCATAATTTTGATTTCTTTCACATTATTTTGGCAGCCAACTGCGGCTTCACTTGGTGTGAGTCTTTTACATGTATTGCATCAATTACATGTGAATTTTGATTGGCTCTTGCCACAAAAGACACCACCACCACAGAGGGTTTATGAACAATGCTTATTAAACTGTACCAGACATTTAGCATGGTGTATCACTGTTACTACCATGCGTTATTAATCTGGTCTGTTATCTGTTGGAGTTTAGTTATCTAACATGAAATACATCCATGAAGATAGTTCATCAACAGGCATTGCTTCAAATGGCTCTTAGAGTTCTCTTGAGTTCTTTTGTGTTTTTTCCTTATCATAAAGTTTTCTGAAGAACACAGTTTTTAGTTTTTAATTAAGCTAAGCTAGCCGTTTATCACTATTGATTTCCTTGTTTTTTGCCATTGTGAGGCCTAAGATGGAGGCAGCTTGGAGATGAATGTCTGACAGGTAGTCCATGTAACCACAGACAAGCATTCCATCTCGGAAATCAGTTTTTCCAATGACCCTTTTTTTAGGCATACAATATGTTTGCATTGTTGGATTGTTGTTTATCTGAGTGATTTGTTTTTTCCTAACAGCTTTGGTCACTCTCACTTGCTGGCCTCTACTGAACTGATTGTTGCCAATTTGTACAGTTCTTAAATGCTCTTTTTTTAAGGACACCTCAGTCCAATCTTGCCCACTGAATCCAAAGGGGGTCACTAACTATTGACTTGTCAGTTGTTCCCCATCAGCTTTCAAAATCACCGTAGCAGTGAAATATCAGTCTGTAAAAAAAAGTTGTCTGATTAATTCATGCATTTGTTCAAAACCTATAACTACAATCAGAAAGGCAGCATCAAGCTGTTTATGATTTAAAGGGCAACAGACACTACCTGTTGGCCACACCAGTTCCACAACAGGAAGCCAATAAAATAGGTGTGTTTAGTGTATATTAAATGCTAATGAATAACAAATACATTCCCATCCTTTCAGTAGATCTTAGTACAAAACATGCAAAACAAGATGTATAATATTTTTGATGATAGTTAACTGTTGCTGCTGCTAGGCTCTTTTGTTTTGAATATGGTTCTTTCAGCATCTATGCACCCCACTTCAGCAGAGCAAGGAAACATCCCAGTGTTGTCACTTAGTACTTGTTGTCATTAGGCTGTATTCTGGATTTGCTATATACTTGACAGTCCATCATAAGGTCAAGTATATGGATTGGAAGACTTATTAGCCTGCACGAAAAATAAGTACTCTCTCTTTGTCCGTCTGCTTAAATGGAGAGCAAATTGTTAGTTTCAATCCTGTTTCTCAGTTGGGCAGGTGGTACAATTAGCCTGCACTAATATCCATCTAAGTGCTGTGTTCCCCCATCACTAATTTAAGGGCTTTCCATTTCACACTGCTCATGATTGATTATGTGATGAAAGTGTGTATTGACCTGTAATCACCTTTACTGGAAATTGCTTCACTTAAGTGGACCACGTTTGTATGCTTGATGACTGGGTTCCTGCATGGCTTTGGATGAACCTTTGGTGATACAACAGCTCTTGTTGGTAATATGAATGATTCATGACAGCTTTAATGTTTTTATTCATGTACAAAGGTAGGCACAAAATACTTCTTTTAAATCTCAGAATGGAGCACCCTGTGGACCTTCCTTTGTGCATGTGCATATGTTGCTGTCAGTGTATGCGATTTTATGATTTGTTTAGTCTCTACTAATGCAAATGGCTTTTCCATTTTCAGTAGTGTGCGTATCTTATAAACTAGCATTCCAATTCTATTCTTCTTCTGTCCTTCAGGAGGGGGTGGAGGTACGAGTGGCACGGATCTTCAACACTTTTGGTTCTCGTATGCACATGAACGATGGTCGAGTGGTCAGCAATTTCATTCTACAGGCTCTACAGGGGGAGCCGCTGACGGTGAGGCTCACACTGCTGTGCAGTAGCACTTAAAATTCTTGTCTAAACTAGCTTTGAACATCATTTCTCATGTCAGGCCAGGCTCAGATTTCACATTTTGGTTCTTAGAGCCTATCTCCCACTTTTAACTGATTTTAGAAAAAAAGGACATTCAGACTGTCAAAACTACTATACTTGTAGTTTTAACACTAGGCTGAAGTTGGCTTCCCATCTGCCAGCTTCTTGTTTGAATTTCCTCATTTTACCTTAAATGGTGCAGCAGTTATTATTACAATGCCTGAGGTGGCGGCATGTGACTGCTGCACCTTTTGAGTTGGAATGGGAAAATTCGAACAAGAAGCTGGCAGATAGGAAGCTGACTTCAGCTTTGTAGTTTTAATGCTGATTTAGGATATCAAAATATCCTACATAGAGTTTTATGTAGGGAACTACCTGTACGTATGCGCTAGGGTAGGACATTTCGACAAGGTTAGCACAGTTCATCGTAACACTGGGAGTCTGCACTGAAGACATAGGTGCATACATGCTGCACTGCTTCAGATTTATAGTGTTGTATTTCTAAGTGTTTCATGAGGTTGCTGTTGTTACCTGCTTTACAAGCAACTACTGCTTTACATATTTTGCATTTAGTTGCATTATCATTAATTTAGAAAAGCAAGCCCACACTTTCAAACCCTTTCCGCCATGACTGGAGAGCACAGAACGACACTCGGCATTCGAAATGGTTAAGATGGTCACAGCCATGCCAGTGCTTTCATTCTAACTATTAAAAATAGGCTAAGCTACATGTAATGAACTAACGATACATAAATACCAATAGCAGCACCATTTGTCCAGGAGCTTATCCATATTGGTTGACCAATCAGGAACTGTTAACTAAAGGCGACCCACATGCATGAGCAAACGGCACAAAAACAGTGAATCAATTCAGGAAATCAGTTTTGTGCAGCAAAAGAATGTTAAATTTGTTTTGCCTTAAATATTTTTCTATGTTTAGTATGTTACATGTAACCTGTTCTTTGTGAAGTTTTAGGATTAAACAGGTGAAGGCTAACATCTCGCTATATCGGTACCATACAGCATGAGAACGGCACAGTATGAAAAGGTTATCCAGATTAAAAAAGCTCTTGAGATGCCACCCAATTTACTATTTGACAGTTCAGTTTGCTAAAGTCAAATGTAAATGGATTATTTGATTATAGACAGATGCAAATAGAATGATGTTGCTATGTACACTTAGTGGAAATTCCAAGATTTTACTATTTACACTTTTCACACTAACATCATGCAATTTACACTTATCTAATTATATACTGTTTTATACTCTTTCTTGATATTGATTCAGTAATATTGATTCAATAATATAATAGGCCTGTTTCAGCCAAAAAAATCTTTCTCTCTTTTTTCATTTTCAAAAAAGTATTTATTGCTTTTTTTTTTTTTAAACAAGAACTATTGAAAATAGTGTGCAAATCCAACTTTTTGCCCAGATGGGGAGTCAAACCCCAGTCTTTAACATGAAGGACAGAGGTGTTATCCACTACACTGTTCCAACCAGCATCATACTACATTCTCCTAGATAATGTTTTACCTTTAAAAATTGTGACTGGTAGATTGATATTTTAATTAATGATTTATTGAATACTTATGTAAAGTGAATGGGGGGGGGTACCCTTACTTGCACTTCTTGTTAATACTAAATAACTCAGTAGCTCTCCAGTTTTCTCTTGAACAAAGCTTCTCCCAAGTCATGGAAAGTATGGAAACCTCAGCAAAACAGACATTTTGGTGTGCTTTAATCACATGATTTACCAAGCAAAGTTAGTATAACCAGACTGCGTGGTTAATGCTATTTCCACTTGGTGTGAGTAGACACTGCCTTAAATATATCAGATACATTTATATGGTAATTAATAGTCAACTATTATTATGTATTATTGTTTCTCTCTCTCTCTCTCTCTCTCTCTTTCTCTCTCTCTCTCTCTCTCTTTCTCTGTTTGATGTGCATCATGATATTTTGTTTTTTAGTTGGAATGAATAATTCCAACTAAAAAAACAATGCTTCACTTCAAAAATGCCGATTTTTTCAATGGCTTTTTTATTTAACATTTCAAGTCCATTTAAACATGACTATTTATGGTTCTAATGAAGCATGCAGCTGTTTAAGTACTGACAGTGTCCACGATATGTTCAGGAAAGATCATATTGTCATATTGTCCATCCCTGCTCTCTCATTTTGATGCATATTGCTCTTTCCTGTTTTCTTCAGGTTTATGGTTCAGGATCTCAGACCAGAGCCTTCCAGTATGTCAGGTAAGCCTGGCCACACTTCAGTATGTCATTTTGAATTCAGTGAAGTTTGACTCATACCCTGATTTGGTGGCCTCTATTCATCAAAGTTACTTACAGAAAAATCTGATCGTACAAAAAATGTTGGGCAGACAGTTCACCAACGTTCCGTCTTGGGGTTTCTGTATAACCATACTTGCATCTGGTCAGACTAATAATATTTTATTAGCCTAAAAAATGCTTGTTTTGTGCTTTAAATCACTATAATCTTTATAAAATTACTAATAACACTAAAAGTAGAATATTAATGACAAAAGTAATTGCACATATAGAAATCATTGTAGAGACAATGATAGGTAATCATTTTTAAATATTGTAATATGTGAATGTGCAATGGAATTTGCTGAATTTGTATTATTTGTCATTATTAGCATATTATTATTGTTATTGTTATTTTATTAATCTTTTAACAGAGTACTAGGTATAAATCATAGGAATGCCCAGGTCTAATTTTTTGTCCCCAGATCTGATCTGAGTCTAATACTGAATATCTGCTGATACAGATGTTTTTTTAATTGAGGTACAGTCACAGAGTGTGCACTCTGAGTAGATTTATGTTTAATATGTGTTTGAGCATGCTGTCACTGTTTCTAAGGCTGGTTTAGGCAGGAAATGGCACACTGTTATCAGCTGTGTTCAGAAAAACACAGTGTCCTTCTGTTCCATTCTTTCTGTCTGTTATTCCATCCTTTTGTTACTGCTGTTGTGTTCCTTTGCTTTCAGTAAACATGAGTACCCAGCTGATCATTACAATGAAAAAGTACCTAAGAAACAAAACAAGTCTACAAAAAAAAGCCCAAGGACTCATTTCTCAGAAGGACCGTACGTTTTTTAACTTTTTAAACTGTTTTTGAAGTCCACTATTTGAGAGAACATTGCTACTGGCTGAGGAGAGCTTGCAGTGTTGTTGACTGGTAATCTGTTCTGAAAGAATATCTCACTATCCTGACACAGCTTATTTTGACTGGGTTGTTCTATTTACTGTGTCTTAAAATTGTACATAATGGAACCTTACACAAATACAGAAACTGCATTTCTTTTAGCTTTAATGTGTTTTGAACTGCTCTATGTTTTTAACACCAGTACTGGTAGAGACAATATAATCACCAGCACTAATGCACAGCATGTGACGCTCAGGTGTTTCTTGTGCAGATGTGCACATTTAGGATCTGTCTTTTTGGACTGAAATGAATCACTGGTGATGGATTGTTCTGAGGGATATTTCAGGACACATTCTTAGAGCTGTAATGAGAGAAAGACATTTCAAAGGCAGAATGGCTGTTTTGATTGAAAAAATATTTGTATTTGCTTACAGACTGATAAAGGCTTGCTTTGGTGTAAAGGAACTTTGTTGTTTATTTGTGGTGTGTGAACCTCTCTCCAAATGTATGCTGAAGGCTGTCTGGCTATGGGAACAAAGAGTAGGGATCTCATCAAACCTTTAGCATCTTAATTTCCAAAGAATTTTCTAAAATATTTTTGTTATTGCAAAATCTTTGTTTTGCTACACAGGTGACTTTTGTCACCCCACTCCCTCTCTAGACTGAATCTGTGTAGGTGGACAGGGTCTTCAGAGAAATCTAGTGTGAACGCTGCATGTGCAGAGGCTCTTTTGAGTGTAATTTAATCAAGCACCTTTCATCCACTGAGCTGTGCAAGGCAGAAGCATTTCCTTGGCAAACTTAAACTCCTCATTGGTGATGAGAGATCAGAGCCATCACAGGGTGTTTGAAGCCTCGCTGTCTAAGCAGAGCAAACCTTTACCTGGCAGTGTAGTGTTTGCGTAATTAAAGTTGCATAAAGAGAGACTACCAGGGACCTTGACTTCGTCTTCTCACTCAGATACCTCAGTGATGGACGCGATACCTTGCTGAACACACTCCTCAAACCAAGTTTTTGATTGGAACTCAAGGTTTTTACTTTTCATTCATATCCAAAACAGTTTTTCAGTCTCTGTTCTTACTTTTTTTGTGCTAGAATGAAACACATTATTTGCATGGAAAACAGTGCAAATTGGCACATTGATGATGTACTCAGTTTGACTGAACTTTATCTGCTGTGTTTTTCAGAGGTTAGTGTCTAATTATGAAATGTGAATTTTCCAAAATTTGTGCAATCTTCTTAAGACCTAAGTAGCCGATGAACAATACTAAGGCCCTATTTTTGTGCTGGCACAAGTGCAGTCCAACAGGTTATTGCCAGAATATTACTTGGTTAGACGCAAGCGCAATTATTCCCATTCTCTCCCATTTGCTGTTTTGGTGAACAGAAATGATGGAGCCTGTGCTGATGTGGATGACAGTGCTTGGCAAAATAATAGATATTCTCATCCAACCAATAAATCGTAAGGGCTCTACTCTGAGGATGCAGAAAAGTTAGGATGTGATATTAGGAATATCTTTGTTTAATGCCTGTGAAATTGCCTCTGTATAGTTGTAATGCTGTTGCCAGATGCAGTATGTATGCTCATTTTCTGCATGCTGATCTCTGTACTTCATGAGAAATCAGAACTGAGAACAGGAGCATGCAGTTTGTCATAGGGCTTCTGTTTACTCCTGCAGAGATGGGGAAGAGAATCTGGTTTGCATCATGACATTATCACCCTCCCCCTCATATTCAATCAGCTGGGCTTTTCTCAGGTTGGTTTCTACTCCTGAAAAATCTCTGGGGAAGCCATTAAATCAAGATCATTCAACTCCTGATGCTGATGAACTGTAGCTCAGCAAATATGTCTTGAGATCATGGGTCTTGAGATCATTGCAAATATATGTTTTGAGACCTCCTTGAGCATGTATAATGGGAGCAGTATGGAATACTGGAGCAGGTGGCCTTATCCCACCTCCACCACCTTATCAGAAATACATTCCACTAATAGAGAAAGCATTTTATTATTCACTCATTCAGTATGGGTAGTGTTTGTTCAAGGACATAGTTGCCAAACCGCCCATTCTGATGCAGGGCTTTGTCTGTTTTTAAAGATTATCTGTATATAACTATTACTAAAAGTACTATACAAATGTTTTAAGCTGTCTGAGAACCTTTATATCATTCATTAGTATTATTATTTTCTTTTAACGTTAGAATAAATACAAATTATGATTTTTGAACTGTTCATTCAAAGCCATCCTATGCTACAACTAAAAATCAATATTGTGTGTAACCCCAATACAAATAGTACAGTACAGACAATATACTACAGCAGTACTTTGGTGTTTATTCATTGAGGCTATTATTTTTCAATGTGAACTAAACCTTAAATTGACATTGCTGAAAGATGATTAAACAGTAATGAATGTATTTAATTAGTAACCTGACAAAAGATTAAAAAACGTTATTTGTACATTTAAAAAAAAAAAAATTGGCCGAAGGAAATATGGAAATAAATGAGTGACTCTCTTAAAGCATGCTTCTAACTGCTCCCCCATGTGGTTCTACTATTGCCAATGTATCTCCATTAGGCAAGGACATGTCTGTTTCCTGTGTCATCTGAAACACCAGGAACATGCTCTTCTCAGTGATTAATTGGGTTAGGAATCACATCTTGGGTCTAATCTTGCCAAGTGGCTGTGTTATATTGTATATGCGTTTTCATTTGTGTAGTGTGTCATATAGCCAGGGACAGGCTCATTATTTTTTAATAATAATATAATAATTATTTTTACTAGCCTGTTCTCACAAACCATCACGTTTAGCCGGCATGGCTCTTTGTGTCTGTTTCTTAAAGACCGTTTTTAATTTTAGCAGAAACTAGCTTTAGCTTCGCTTTGCTGTTCCCATCAGAACATTCCCTGGCACATAGAGGCTGATCTTATTGAGATGCATACCAGTACATGGGGTGCAAGATTATAAGTGAGTCCTACTCATATGAGGTAGTGAGAGGGGCTCTGAATAAGAAGACAAGGGATTATGTAAAACACTTGGTAAAAGAGTAGGCGTATAAATGAAGGTCAAACACCGCAGCCTCAGACATCTTCTGCCCAGTATTTTTCTGGGTAACATACAATCACTGGGCAATAAACTGTTTGATTTCAGAGGAAGACTAACATTTCAGAGGGATTTTAGGAACCGCTCTGCTTTGTGCTTTACAGAAACTCGGGTAATATCCAACACACTAATTTTTGCAGTTTGGCTGTGAGGCTTCTCCACACACCACGCGGATCGGACAGAGGAATTGGAGAAGAAAAGAGGAGGTGTATGTTTTTACATAAACAGTGCTTGGTGCACAGATGTATACAGGGTCTCACAGTTCTGCTCACTGGACTTATTAGTAATCACATGTAGACCATTTCACCGGCCTGGAGAATACACAGCTGTTTTATAGCTGCTATATATTCCTATCATATGGAAATTATAATACTAATAATAAATTCAAAAACTGCATTGAACCAGCTGTAAAACATTGTTTCTAAACTTGAAAATATATATCCTGATGCTCTGTTTATCATCTCTCCAGACTTTAACAAGTTGAATCTCCAAAAAAATTTATCAATAATACATCATCATCAGCACATCTTCTGCCCCACCAGGTGGACAGACATCCTTGATCACTGCTACACTCCAAACAAAGGCGCATACAGCTCTCTGTCTCACTGCCAACTCAGATGCTCTATCCACTGCTCTGTGCTTTTGCTCTGTTTACAAAGACCAGTGGAGCCAGTAAGGAAAGTGGTTCAGCACTGGACTCGAGAGGCTGAGAAAAAAACTTCAGGACTGTTTTGATTGTGTAGACTGGGCAATTTTTAAAGACATATGATCTGAATGAATATACAGCAGTTTTTAGAGACTTTATTAGGACTGTGAGCTATTAAAACAGTCTGTTCATTTCCAAACCAGAAACCCCACAGCAAGATAAAGACCCACACCACAGCATTTCAGTCTGGAAACAGACTTGTATAAGGAATGCAAGTATGATATCAGGATGGCTGTCAAACATTCAAATCAAGAATACAGGAAAAAAACTGGAATCACATTACTGTAATACTATAGATGCTAGATGGATGTGGCAGGGCATCCAGACACCTGCAGGCTATGAACCCGTACAGGCATGGTCACAGCATCTAGTCCTTCCCTGCTAGAGGAGCTGAATGCTTTTTTATGCCTGTTTTGAGCTCACCAACAACGAGCACCCAGATCCAGCTCTTATGACTTCACACAATTCCAGTTTTACCATCTCTGTTGAAGAGGTGAGAAGGACGTTTAAACATATTAACACAGAAAGCTACAGATCTCAGAGCATGTGTTAAAACTTTCAGTGACCAGTTAGCTTGTGTTTTTACAGATATTTTTAATCTCTCTTAAAAAAGAAAACAAAACTCCAAAGTACCCACCTGTTCAAAAACACTATTATCCTTCTGCCTTAATGACTGTTGACCAGTTGCACTCCCCCCGTTGCAGAGGGGTGCTTTGAAAGGCTTGTGCTGGGTTACATTATCATCCCAAATACAGTTTGCCTACTGCCATAACAATTGAACAGAAGGTGCTTCACAACACTCTGGCATACCTGGATATTAAAGGTTTTTATGCCAGGCTATTATTTCTGGATTATAGCTCAACATTCAAGACTGTTGTACTCTCCAAGCTTATCACTAAACTCAAGGGTCTAGAATTGAGTACAGCCCTCTGCAACTGGATACTGGACTTTTTCACTGGCGAACCCCAGCATGTAAGGATTGGTACAAACTTCTCATCCAAACTGATTCTCAACACTGACATCCCACAAGCCTGTGTTTTAGGCGTTTTGCTCTACTCCTTGTTCACTCATGACTGTGTATGCAGACAAAGCTCAAATTCCATCTGATCTGTAATAACTATGAGACGGCCTTCAGGGAGGAGGTTGGCTTCCAGGCAGACTGGTTCCGGGACAATAACCTGTCCCTCAATGTCAGCAAGACTAACGAGTTGGTTGACTTCAGGAGACATGAGGCAGATGACTCCCCCACCTACATCAGAGGGGATGCTGTGGAGAGGGTCAGCAGTTGCAAATTCCTAGGGGTCATCATTACCAACGACCTCAAGTGCATACTGAACACCACAGCCGCAGTTAAGAAGGCTCACCAATGCCTTCCTCTGACAACCGAATAAGCAAGGGGATGTCTTAAACACTGCTCACATACTTGTACAGGTGTACCACGGAGTCCATCCATACAGGCTGCATCACATCCTTTTGTGGCAGCTATTCAGCACAAGATGTAAAGCATTGCAAAAGGTGGTAAAGATGGATCAGAGAATCACCGGCACACACCTCCCTACAACGCAGGACATTTACTGCGCACGCGTCTCAGTAAGGCAGCCCGCATGCTGAAGGAAATTCATCCTGCACCACAATATTCAGAAGCAGTTTCTAACTCCAAACCATCAGATGGCTTAACATGCATTGTCACTTACTTTAATTTGCGTAAGCTTTTTCAAAACTGCAATAGGCTCTAGGCTCACTTTAAATACAACTGTAATTTCTAGTGTGCTGTACTGTTCTATCATACACTTCCATATACAATTCCATCTGAATAAGCACAGTCACTTAATTGACCATGTTTACCATGTTTACACTGGTTACTATGAACCATGCGTATGTATGTATGTATGTATGTATGTATACAACGTTCTCCTTTCTTGTGCTTAATCCTATTTAGTAGTTTTTACATATTGTCAGTGTTGAAGTCTGTAAGGAACGCTGTGTTCATTTCTGCTTGTGGAGGTAAAAAAATTATTTGTACGTATGTTTTGTTTCCTGTTGTGGTTTAACTCACTGGAACAAGCAGAATTACTTTCAAATTCACATTCACAGCAATCCACTAATCCTGCACAACATCCATTTAAGAGCATCAGAATTCTGCACACACCTACTTCTGCTCGAAGCTCATTTAAGCTGCCAGAAGAGCAACTGGAGCTTTCACACATTCACTCATTTTCAGTGTGTGTGAGTGATGTTAGCTCACGTTAGCTTGTTTTAACTGAATCAAATTGAAGGACTATCTTTGTTAAGTAATGTTAGGATGACAGCACTTTATGTTCAAATATTCATGCATGGTCTTTGTTTACTTATTGAAGGGTGTGCACTGTATGGAAGCCCATTCCCTCCAATTAGAGAACAATAATCAAGTGTTTGTTTTCTTTTTCTGGCAGTAGTATACGAAAATATTGACCTAGTGTATTTAAATAATGACTTGCGTTCCCAAAACATTGACTTGCTACAATAAAATAATAACTTATTTTCTATAAATATTGACTTAGTATCTCATAATAATGATTTATTATCCCAATTATTATCCTGAGAATTACTTTCTTGAAATTGAATAATTCATTATTTCAAATTAAAATCTCAAAATCTCATTTTCTAATTATACGTCAGCTGTTATTCTTTTCAAAAGCTTCATAGCATTTTGGAATAAGTCTTCATTATTTTGAGATATTAAGCAAGTATTTCAAGAATATGTCATTATATCAAGACAAGTCAGTATTTTACGTTTCAGACGTAAACAGCTGTTTAGAGTGGTTTGTTGTGAAATTGTTCACTGAAGAGAAACTTACTGATATCTTTACATTGGTGGTGATAGAAACCAGGGCTTGTGATGTCTACAATGCAAATGTGCCTACTTTAATTTACGATACAAAACAAACCAACTCGTGTCTTCTGAGTTTTTTTTTTTCCTTTTTTTCCAAGTTTTATATGTTGATAATGGTAAAATAACAAAAAAGGTGCTAGGTACTATTTACACAAATGGATTTTAAAATTGTGTTTCTTATCTCAATACAATCAGAAAACTATATTCATAACCATTTTGTGTATTAACTTTCAGTGGAAGCTTTCAGTGGAGGCCAGATGATTCCTGTCACCACCACTGTGAATAATTCTGACTTGTTGAGGTTCTCTAGAACAGAGCATTTCACACTAAACAAACTCCTAATGACTTTGTGTACATCTCATGGGGTTAATTTTACAGATGTTTTGAAAAATCATTTGAATTCCTTTTTAAATGTGACTTTTTTCTGCTATTGTTAGTGCACAGTTTCTATTTTATTTGATCATTTAACATAAAGGAAAAAAATAAAACAATACAAAATCAATATCATTAATGTAATTTTGTTTTGCTTTGTGTATGTTAAATTACCCCAATTTGTTAAATTCAGCAAATAAACAGTAAGGATGCATTACAGTGTACAGAAGTGTGTTCTCTGTACAGGATGTGTTTTTATTACTTAAAAAAATCAACAAAACGTCATTTGACAGGGGAGGCAAAACTTTTACATACAACATACAAATTAATTTATGTATGCATTTAAGATGCCAAGTCAGTATGTTGACATGATGCTACCAGAAACAGACCTCGCAGGAATGGGCTTGTGCAGTTCTGGGAGAGATGTGTGTTTCAGAATATTTATATCATCTCTGCATTAACACTGCCTCCTTTTGTGTTACCATTACTGAAGAGTAAGTCAAAAATATCCATGCAAGAGCAGGAACCTGAATTAGTGTAAATGGGTGAATTGTGGTCTGTGTTACTGCTGTAGCAGAGCTCACACTATAATGTGTAATAATAAATGTCATTTTTAGAAAACCGACTATAATAATGCTGTTACTGTCTGAATAGAGGCAAATTTAATGAATTCTTGTTTACTTCTTTCTTTCCTTCACTTATTTTTCATTTGCTGTAATGCTTAGTAACATCATTTTAACATGTTTACTGTTCCTCTGTTTCAGTGATCTTGTGAATGGCCTTGTGTCCCTGATGAACAGTAATGTCAGCAGTCCTGTAAACCTGGTGAGTTTTCTGACCATGTATTTTGCGTTTGATGAAAGACCACCATCATGTTGTCAGTAAACTCTGTGTTTTTTTGCTTTGTGGTTTTATTGTTAGTTTTTTTTATTTAGCCCAAAAGACATTGATTATCTATGGTTAATGGCTGTTGTGTGCAAAACATTCTACAGTTTATATTTGTCCATTAATCACAACCATTTTTTTCTGAGTCGAAGCAATCTTAACTTGTCCAAATAACTGTGAAGATGCTTATTATTGAACACATTGTCCTGAGGGTAAATTGCGCTGCTGTCTTGCTGTCTTATTGATTGCATTTATTTGTGTCAGGGAAACCCTGAAGAGCACACCATACTGGAATTTGCTCAGCTGATTAAAAGCCTAGTTGGTGAGTAACAAATCAATGCAGATAAATAGCATTTTTTATTTTATTTTTTTAAACTAGGCTCTCTCTGTCTGTCTCTTTCTCATTGTCTGTTTCTCGCTGACTGATTGAATAAAGCTCAGATTACACATTCAAACCCCTCTCTGTGTTCAGGGAGCCGCAGTCACATTCAGTTTCTCCCAGAGGCGCAGGATGACCCTCAGAGACGGCGGCCAGACATCCGGAAGGCAAAAATGCTGCTGGGCTGGGAGCCTGTGGTGAGTGCTGGTCCTACCATCAGATTGCGAGTTTGATCCCCGGTGATGCTGCAGCCATTCGTGGTCCAAGAGAGCACAGTTGGCTTCACTCTCTCTGGGCTGATGGGATGACCTCCCTCCCAAATTTACTGAGCTCAACACATAGGTGGAGCGGCCCTCGAGGGGCATGGAGTAAAGGCTTTTAGATGTATAAGTAATTAGAACCATAAATGGTTCTACCCAGAAGGATAAGCGGTTTAAAAAAATGTGTTTGTGTGTGTGTGTGTGTGGTCATAGTGACTGCTGATGATAAAAAGCTCCTTTTTCATATGAATTATTTTTGCACGTTTATAAAGAAATGGGAATTTGAAGATCGCTCCTCATGACTGTGGGGTTTTGACTCGTAGGTTTGCTCAGCCAACTTAAAAGCATCATAACATTCTGATTATATTTACAAAATAATCTGTATATTTACTCTGCCGTATTACCGTGATGTTAATGCTACAGCACTTCAGGGTACACAAGAGCTGATCACGCGCTGTAAAAAGGTCCTTTGTTCCCTGTTACTGATCCCTTTGACGTCAAAACGCTCTGATAGTTTCTAATGATGTTTCTATAACTGTTTTAAACTGAAGGTACCATTGGAGGAAGGGCTGAACAAAACTATCCAGTACTTCAATAAGGAGCTGGAGCATCAAGCCAACAATCAGTATATCCCCAAGCCCAAGGCCGCCCGCATGAAGAAAGGTAGACCAAGACACAACTGAGGAACACGCTTTTTCTCAGGGATGCTGGGATCCTGGAGATTCTGGAGCCTCTAGCAGCCATTTTACACAAGGGGGTTTCCCCTTAAAAAGAGTGTTTGGAAAAAAACAAAAACATTTCCTGTGTGTTTTTCTTACTTTTTTTTTTTGTGCTTATTTTTGGAAAAGCAGTTGTAGAACTGTCTGTGCCACACTTGCTTTTCAGACATGTGCCTCAGAAAAAAAGAAAAAAAAAAAAAAAAAAACTATGAAGTTCAGACACTCAGAGTCCTTGCCTTGCACTTTGGATTCGTCAATCATCTGTTATTTAAGAAAAAGTGAAGACTCCACGTTATTTTTTTGCATTCATGCTGTGCAGTTTTGATTGTTGTAATCATTTTTATTGGTGTTTATGCTGTGAGTGTCTTTTTGAACAGACACCTCTTTTCAATGTTGAGATTTACTATGGAGGCTAGTGATTTTCTGTTAATTTATCTTGAATGTGCTGCCCAGGATAGGACACATGATCGGGCCTTGTTCTGGACGACGCAGAAGAAAAGAAGAAACTATGGGAGATGCTTTTCTGCTTTATTTTGTTGTGATTTTGAGCAATGTGTAGTATTGCCACCATCACACTTCACACAGATCTCAGATCCTTTAATGAATTTCAGGTGGAAAAAAATATTTTAATAAAATATTTACATTGACTGCTAATTCCACATTTTTTTCTTATACACCATCACCCCTGCCTATCATACTTTCCCTTCCCTGAGGGAAGTTTAACATGTTTGGCACATGTACACATACAGATGGCAACAGCGTCAGTAATTAAACTTGGTTTCTATGCTGACAGTTACAGCTGCTTGTATGAAGCTTCAGCAGCCCTTTCAGGTTGTGTTATTGATGGTGGTGCCTGGATGTTGCAAAATGTGCACAGAGAAAGATGCCATGAGAAATTACAAATAATGCAGATGACTTTATTAGATATGACAGCAGTTTTATTTCTTTTACTTTACATACAGTTTTACTGATTTTGAAGCTAAAGGGCTTTATATGCACTCTGAAATACAATTTTTCTATATTCCTTTTGCTCTTACACATTCTGATTCTTTTGTGTGGTTCACAGAGACCAGATATTCATCAGCAGATGATTCTTCATTAACAGCACCAATGATAGGTGATCATTGGAGTCAGTAACATCAATGAGTGCGTTTACAATCCGATAACTGTAGAAAATCAGATGCAACATGTTTACATGCACTTGCGTAATCAGATAATGTGAAACTCCAGGTTTACGTGAGTCAGGCAGTAATCAGATTTCTGCTTTGCAACCAGCCAATAAACTCACAGAAGACGATGTGACCTAATGCTGCAGCTTTTTAAAAAAAAAACCATAGCGCCACTTTACCTGAAAATATGAACATTCATCATCTAGAAGAGGAGAAATATTTAAATCCTTTATTTTGACAAGCATGTAGTTGGTTTCAGCATCACTCCAAAAGTTTTGCTGCCATCTTGCGACAACACTGCTTACTTATTTCCGGTACAGCAGTCTGTTCTGCACGTGCGCAGACTGAGAAATCCGATTAAGAGTATACATGCAATGAGAAATCTGATTACTGAGCTAAAATCCAGCTCTCCTTATTGGATTTCTTAATTGGATTTCTAGATCGGAGTATGGTGTTTACATGACCATTTAAATAATCGGATAACTGCAGAAATCTCATTATGATCGGATTATTGAGTGTGTGTAAACACACTCATGGTTTCCAGTGCTCCTAAACCATCCACAGACCAATGTGGTATGTTTTATTTGAAGGCTGTCTAGATAGAGACTTCATCAAACATGCATACGCACTGAAGAATGCATTGTCAAAGAAACACCTGCATATTTCTGAATTTCTCTTTGGCTTTTACCATTAATTTATGACACAAGATGTATGAAGTAAAATTACTTTATATCAGTAAATCTGTACTGATATAAAGATTCTTATAATAGACATGAGCGACAGTTGTTTCATTTGTAACACTGGTATGAAACGTCATCTCCAAGTAATGGAACTTGTAAGGCAGAGGCCTAAATAAAACAGTACAATATCAGTTCTCCATGTTTCTACATGAATTAAAGTACAAACAAACAGTTTCTATGAAGGAGAGCTGTGTGGCTGCAAACATGAACAACTAACTGTTTATCATGTCTGCAGCCACACAGTCCTACTTAAAAGAACAGGTTCCTCAAAATAATATTACACAGTATCTAGAGTAACTCAAAGGAACTTCTACTCTTACTGAAGTAATATTTTACCAAGGGTATTTCTACTTTTAAAGGAATGTAGTTTAGGACTGTTTGCATATTTATATGTATTTTCACATTGTCACTGTTCAAAGAAAAAACAATCTCCAAAATGGTAACTTTGCAGAAGATGCAAAACGTTCTTTACTTTTAATGTAAGAAACAGTGATATTGTTTGCTAAAGTAAAGAGTCATTACTTCGGAATGATTCTTCGTAACAGTGTTATGAATGGAACAAATAACCGAATAAAACAAATCACTTCAGTGTAAGGCCCCTAATGCCAAAGCAATGTCATGACACATTTTGTGTCATCTTGCAATTACTGGCATAAGCTGTTTCAAGTATTACTTTCAATGCTTCTTCATACATTATAAAGTCCTTATGTAGGCAGCCTTTACATAAAGTGTTAGCCCTAAGGTCATCTCCGTTGCTGTGGGGGCACCATGATGAAGCAGAGCTGCAACAGACAGTTAAAGTAAAGACTGTTGGGAACACTGACCCCCACACATATGGCATCAGTTTGCGGCTGCATTCAAGGTTATTCATAGCACAGAACACTTACGCTTCTGCTGGTAGTAAGGATCTACACTTTCAGAGTGAGGGTATAGAGCTTATGATTATGTTTAATGTAGACAGAGTGGTGGGTTGTATTTCTGCAATCGGAACAAATGTGCTGCAGCTAATTCTCAGCCTGGGAAGAGCATGCAAGAAAAAAAGTAAGAAAGATCAGAAACTTGCAAGGCTGCCGTCTGAAGAGGTGAAGGAATAGGAACAGTGTGTGATACTGCTTTTACATAAGGGACAACTCTCGCCCACACCATCACATTCAGTTCCTGGAACCAGGTTGTTTTTGAAGAGGAAAGGAAGTTAATAGTAGTCGTAGTTGACGTCTGCCCCATGTCTGTTATGACTGGGGAATCTGGGGCCCATGGGGGAATTCTCGTCATAGTGATGCTGCCGTGCTGGGTCACTAGAGCGGGCTTGGTCCTTCCAGTAAGACAGATCAGCTTCCAGTCTCTGAAAGGAAAACATTCTTTAGATAAAAGTATCCAGACACTCTTTCAAATTAGTGAGTTTTACTACTTTAAAGGGAGATTCTGGCCTATAGCTAGCATTTAGTATTGCCACCGTAAAAAAAAAAAATCTCTCCAAAATGGTAACTGTACAGTAGAAGGCAAAAACACTGTTTACTTTAATGTAAGTTAATGTATGTTGTTTTTTGGGGTTTTTCAGCGACAACATGTTACACAGCATCTGTAGTGCACTGTATCTCTCAGCCTCATCAGTTCATTCAAAGTTTTGTCTGATTTTGTAATTATTATTAGTGTTGCACTATAAAAATACATAACACAGCTACTGGAAATGCCTACGGCACTCAAGAAATCCTGACAACTAGCCACGGATGTAGAAGCTAGTAAATACATCTGCAATGCTAGCTGGGATACGACACAAACCTCAATAGGTCATCAAAATAAAAGCAATAATTTAGCCAGCCAGCAAAAAAGAAATGATGTTAAAGACCCTGGCCCACCCTAAAGCACTTGTAGTTTTTCAAAATTTACTTCTACCTTTACAAAAAAATACAAACACAAATTTTGCTTTAGAGGCTTCTGCGGCACCACAATAAGCGGCAAGTTTACAACTAAGAAGAGCGATGGTTATTTTTCATTTTAGCCAGGATGTGATTTTTTGGTTTCACAGCTGCAGGTTAGAAGCGTCCGACTCTCTGAGATGGTACTTCTTGGATAAAAAGTCTATGAAAATCCTAAAGATCGAATGAACACTGTCAGTTACCTGTGCATTTCAGGGCTCATCTGAAAAGGGCTGTCGGTTGGAGGCACGTGTAGACGGTGAGGCAAACTGACAAGTTAGAAAATTGCACTGTACCTCACAGAGGAGCTTTTTTGTCTTCTTGATTTGAACTGCACTGACAGGAGACCTTTGGAAAGTAGCTGAACTGTTTGTCTACAGTGTACACTGCTCTATGGAGAGTGCTCCCATCACAACCGTCAAAGTCTGCTCAAAAGAACCAGCACTGAAAAAATGGCTGAATGGAGAGAGACTAAATGTGGAGGACAGAGGGTAGACAAGCCTGAGTCACTCAGAGTGGAACTAACTGATAGCAGATTTGTCACTCAACCTGGAGTGCACAGAGAAAATCTGAAGGACTGAAACTGTGAAGAAAAGTGCCGACCAGACAAATGATGCTGTCATAGCCCCACTTTCTAACAGTAGTTTAAGAGCCGTTCTTCTGAGCTCCTATTTTTATCTATAAGCTGGCACTGGAAAAGTTTTGTTGCAATACTGCCACAGATCTCTAGAGGTTATTAACTTTGGCCGTTCATCCTATTTTGTACCTCACTGGCCATTTCATCAGGTAAACATACCACGTAGGTGCACTTTATTAAACGTAGCCCATCTGTTGCTGCACACCTTATCAGTCACCCTCTAACCATCTGTCAGTGGAAAGGGACCACTATAGGTGACCAGATATTGTTTATGTTGTTTTTGTCTAATTTTACTAGTGATTTATTTTTTATTATTTTCATTTCATGCAATTTGTGTTAATCCTTTTGCGTCTTTGATCAGTGGTGTTTCTGATCACAACTGCTGCTGAGATATTTTTGTTTGGTGGTCTGTTCTTAAAAGAGCAGTGGTGTGTAAAAGCCCCAGCAATGCTGCTGTGCCTAATATACTCATACCAGCACAACACACACTACCACTGCACTACCATGTCAGTGTCCCTGGTGAGTAGTGGTGGTCTCACGGTACTCTCTTTCTATTGATGAACAGGTTGAGAAAGGCTGATGTGCGTCAACAGATGGGCTACAGTCTGTAAGTTAAGTCTAACTGTAAGCACGCAGTAGGCATTTCTGATAAAATGGCCAGTGAGTGTAGTGCAGCAGTGATAAACTGGCAGTTCAGTATAATGTATAACCGCTGTCCAAATATCAATTATTTCCAAAATAGTAACTCTACAGATTTTTTTTTTTTTTTAACTTTTAATGCAAATACAAGTTAATGTAAAGAGATTTTATTGCAAGTGATTTTGGAGCATTTCTACTGGTTCATTTATCGTGAAATTTTTACACAATGTAAAGGAAAGGATTTATTTATTGTTGTTTTTTCTTGGAAATGACGATAGGCTAGTTGAAGATAACACTTGCTTTATCTTCACTGGAATGGGTCTGACCTGTGATTAGAACTAATGGGAACCAATGACAGAAAAAAGAGTCACTAAGCCCTTAACCCTACAGTGGACTCACCGCCTCATCAAATCCCATGTACATGAACTGCTGGATCCACTGCTGCACATCAGGACGACTGCGATCCCACAGGTTCCTCTTAGGCCTCCGTAGAGAAGCCAGGAACTGCTTGGCCTTGGAGGCTGGCACTGCCACAGTCGCTGCTGGCTTCACCTCATCCTCCACTAGTGGGAGACAGAGAGCAGAGACTTTACCCTAGACCATTTAGGAACCTTAATTTTTTAAGATGTTATATGAATGACTACACACAGAAAAAGATGTTCTTTGGAGCAATGCTATTAAAGACCCACCTTTAGTTCAATGAATGGTCCTTTAAAAGACCACTTGGTCAATTTAGAACCTAATTTCTATCTGCCACATCTGTAGCACAGTCACTTACCACAGACAAAAATGTACACACTTTTCCTTTTTAGTTTTAAAAAAAAAGTAAAACATAGTGAGTTAACAAATGTTCTGCTCTTTTAGTAAGTACAGCCAAAAGCTATCTAAACTATTGTCTGTGGTACACTAGAGATTATGCATATGATTTTAGTTCCACAGTAGTTTCTGAATAATGAGTATTATTATTAATAACTGAATGATAAGTCTAGGGTTTAAGGTACTAATTACGGGAGGGTCTTACAAGAGCAGAACAGGGAGAACAAAGAACAAAGAGAGGATGCAAAGTTGTGATCATACACAAAAGGCTATGAAAAATGTAATGAAGTAGAATACTCAGTCACCTTCTCTCTTCTTCAGAATCTTGTGCAAAGCGCTCTCACTGGACACATCTGGAAGATATTTATGAATGGAATGGAATTAGTTTTACATACTCAGCAACAGTAGTTTGAGAGAAATCACAGACACACTATGAAGCTGTAATTTGAGCACATTACCTTACAGCCCCCACTGTATTTTTCCACTGTTAACTAGTGCAGTTTCCCATAAAACCCACACAGTGCACATTCCTCAACCGCATACTCAAAACTGCATACAGAGCCAGTGGAGACTGGCACATGGAGAAATGTGACAGATGTTGTTTACAGGTGCTTCAGACGTGTCTGATCAGTAAATATATTTATGGAAAAAAAAAATCCTAAAGGCCTGTCTACGTTGCGCAATGTGCAGATCAGTGGGGTCTTTGTTGCAGTTGCTGTGTTCACAGAAAGTCTGACTCATTCTGTCTGGCATGTTATCATTAAAGTGGAAAGAGACAAAAAGCTAACAGTAGGGCAGAGAAGCTAAACTGCAGTGACAATCTTGAGTTTAATGGCAGAAGTTTAGGAGCTCTATTGACGTTACTGTGACTTCTTTATTAAGTCTCTGAGATTTGATCATTGTTGACATCAGTATCTGTTTTTTTTCTCCTGTTTGCTTTTACTTCTATAACTGTTCAACCCCTATTTCCACAAAAAAGAAGCTTTCTCAAAAAGGCACACTTCCAGGATTTCCCAAGGGGAACATGAACACGAAGTTAGACACAAATATGCATGTTGCAAAACTAAAAAGAAAACACTCACAAATAAGCACATATACAATCAAGAACTTGTTCAAGTTTATCTAACATTTGTTAAGAACAGCATATTTCTGTATACGTTTGTCTGAGACATTTGGAGGATACAGAAACAGCCCATGGTGGAGAGGAAAGCCTATGCAGATGCCTCTGAGCAAAGATCTCACACATAGAGGAAGAAAAAGAGAATATTACCTGAGAGAGCCAGTAGAGTCAGCAAGGTAAGAAAGGTAAACAGGCGTAGGTAAAAGTTAGGGGACACCATGATCTCTCAGCTCTTCTCCTTTTCTCCTCTGTCTGACTGCATTCGTTCACAGGGGCTGCTGAGGGTCCAGATGCAGTTGAGAGGAGAGCAGAGAGGGGGAGAAGGAGAGCAAAAGGACAACCATGGAAACATTCCCTGCAGAAACATGCCTGGCCGCTGGTGGTGAATTACTGTAAAACCAAGCCAGCCAACAGAAAGGCATTGTGTGCGAGTTGTGTGTTTGTGGTTTGAAGTATTTTTCCACGTTCAGCTGAGCTGCAGCTGTTTTTTTGATCCTTGTACACGCATACATATAAAAACGTTATTTCACTGTTCTGCAGAATCAAAAAGGTCCTTTATGTTCTAGGTGTTAACCAGGTAAATACAAAATCAACTAAACTGCCAAACAAGTTCTTCACAAAGTAAGTATGAGGTATAATCTCCAAAGTGCTCTGTAATTATTTTTCAATACAATGGCAGTAAATGCCAAGAAAGTTTAACTAAATTAGACTGAAATGACTGATAAAGTCTAGTAAAATATAATAATTATTTGGAGTAACACTGTGGTAAGTACAAACACTTTTCTACACTTTATAGTTTTTAAAATACTAAGATTTTTCCCATAGACTTACAGTGAGCCACTGTGACATCATAACCAGGTATAAACTGGCTTGAACCGGTTCTTTACTGTCACTGTGCCAAACTGAAATCTCCCTTTCTCTCTGTCCCTCTCAATATAACTGTATTACAAGAAGTCTTCAGATCCTCTTTCACTCTATCTATCTATCTATCTATTTATCCCTCTACAACTGTGCCTATAGCTCTATCAATCAATTTACCTATAATTCTCTATGCGTCTATCTTTTTACAACTCTCTATCGATCTATCTATACCTCTACAACTCTGTTTGCAACTCTCTATTTACAATTCTATAACAACTAGCCTACACATGCCTTCCTATCTGTCTATCTATATGGACAAAAGTATTGGGGCACTCTCCTAATTATTGAGTTGAGGTGTTTCAGCCACACCCATTGCTAACAGAGAGATCAAATTAAGCATGCAGCCTTGCAATCTTGATAGACAACACTGGCAGTAGTATGGGTCGTATGATGAGCTCAGTGACATTCAATGTGGCACTGTCATAAGATGCCAACTCTGCCACAAGTCAGTTTGTAAAATGTCTGTCCCGCTAGATCTGCCCGTCAATTTTAAGTGCTATTCTTGTGAAACTGAAGTGTTCAGGACCAACAAAGGCTTAGCCACACTGAATCACTCACTAAAGAGTTCCAAATTGCCTCTTAAAGCAACATCAGCAGAAGAACTGTGCATCAGGAGCTTCACAGCATGTTTCCTATGGCTGAACGGCTACACACAAGCCTAAGATCAAAATGCACAATGCCAAGTGTCGTGGGGGGAGTGGTGTAAACACGCCGCCACTGGACTCTGAAACAGTGGAAACAGTGATGAATCACGCTTATCCGTCTGGCAGTCTGATGGATGAGCCTGGGTTTATGCTTCAGCATACCAAGACATTTTGGACAATTATATGCTTTCAACTTTGTGGGAACAGTTTGAGATAGGCCCTTTTCTGTTCCAGCATGACTGAGCCCCAGTGCACAAAGCAAGGTCCATAAAGACATGGATTTATAGAATTCTCTTTCCTTCTATAACCCTATCCATCTATCCTTCTACAACTCCTTATCTATCTGTCACTTTATCAATCTATCCATCTATCCTTCTACAACTCTCTATTTATAACCATCTATCCTTGTGCAACTATCTAATAATTTGTATTTATAAATAAATAATTTATTTATATTTTAAATTTATTACCTATTTATCCATCAATCAATCTATCCATCTACAACTGTCAATCTATCATTCTACAACAATCTATCTTACGACTCTATCTATAGCTTTTTATTTAACCTTCTCAACTCTCTTTCTATCAGTCTACAACTATTTGTCTATAACTATCTATCTTTCTACAACTTTCTATTTATCTATCTATAACTATCCATCCTTCAGACAAGTCTCTATCTACAACTTTTTATGTATCAATCTATCATTCTACAACTCTATCTACCTTTCTACCAACAACTCTTTATCGATCAATCGATGTATGCTTCTACAACTCTGAATCATTCTGCAATTATCAATCTATGACTCTCTATCTATAAGTAGAGATCTATAAATGTAAATATATAGCCCTCTACAAGCATCTAGCTATCCTTCTTCTATTCTACTTTATCTTTCTATTCTACAACAACTCTCTATCTACAACTCTTATCACTCAACAAGTCGCTATCTAACTATTTAACTATATATCTAAACACTGTATCTATCCTTCTACAATTAGCTATCTATCTAGACCTCTACTTATAACTTTGCAACTCTCTTTACCTATTGTTTTACACATATCTGTCTATCTATCTATCTAAAACATGATCTATTCATGTATTTATGTATTTACCATGGTACAACTTTATATTTATTGACTTCTTTTGAGAAAGAAAAATAAAGCAGCAAAAAGAATTAAGATAACCAAAAAAATAAATAAATCTATTAAGGAAACCTAAACAGCTACATATAAAAGGACTAAAACGGAAAGGAAAGTGAACCAACTACATATAAAATGACTACAAAAGAAAGGAAACCTAACCACCTACAAATAAACATAGAAAGGACAATTAACCAACTACATATAAAAAGACTAACAAAGAAAGGAAACTTAACCAACTACATATAAAAAAGAAACTTAATCAACCACATACAAAAAAAGAAAGTAAACTTAAAGAACTAGCAAGCAAGCAAGCAAAGTTTATTTATATAGCGATTTTTTAAGTCACAAAACAGCTTTACAGAAAAATCAGCATTACAGAAAAAGAAAAGAAAATCAGCATTGCAGAAAAAGAAAAGAAAATCAGCGTTACAGAAAAAGAAAAATCCGGGTCCAACCTCCTATGAGCAAGCCAGTGGCAACAGTGGCAAGGAAAAACTCCCTAAGAGCAGGAGGAAGAACCCTTGAGAGGAACCAAGACTCAGAAGGGGAACCCATCCTCCTCTGGTCGACATTGGATAGCAAACATTGTTAGCATAAAGTATTACAGAACAAAGCGGGGAAAACAGGTGGAGCAATGGTTAATTTGTTTAGTTTTAGATTATTCAGCGGCAGCAGCAGCATTGTCAGTTCATGAGGGTGAGGATTACACAGCGTTGTACAGCATGAAGCTCGATGGTGGTCAAGCTAGTCCAGAAGGCTGGTGAGCAGTGGGCACCCGATCAAGGCAGAACAGGCAACAGCATCAGACGCGCAGGATGGGCAGCTGTTCAACTCAGCAAAGAAAGGAAAGCACACAGAGAGTTAGCTCTGTAATGAGTGACTGATCACCAATTACAGTATTTACAGAGCAGCAGAGACTCCATCAGGTCTAGATCTGACAGGGAAAACTAATTACCAAAGGCTTGACTATACAAGTAAGTTTTTAGCCTAGACTTAAAGACTGAGGCTGTGTCTGAGTCCCGAACATTAACAGGAAGATTATTCCAAAGTTGGGGTCTTTGTGTTTTCATTTAAAGGAAACTTAACCAACTACATATAAAAAGACCAAAACAGAAAGGAAACCTAAACAACTACATAAAAAAGGAAGGAAACTTAACCGACTACATGTAAAAAAAAAAAAGAAACTTAACCAACTATAAATAAAAAAAAGAAAAAAAAGAAACTTAAAAACTACATAAAAAAGAAAGGAAACTTAACCAACTATATATAAAAAGAAAAGAAAAAAGAAAAGAAAATCAACTACATAAAAAGAAAAGAAACATAACCAACTACACATAAGAAAACCAAGGAAACATTACCAACTACATAAAAAAGAAAGGAAACTTAAGCAACTACACAAAAAAGAAAGGAAATTTAACCAACTACATATCAAAAAAGAAAAGAAACTTAAGTAACTACATATAAAAAGACTAAAAAAGAAAAGAAACTTGACCAATTACATAAAAAGAAAGGAAACTTAACCAAATACATAAAAAGAAAGGAAACTTAACCAACTACATAAAAGGACTAAAAAAGAAAAAAAAAACTTATGGAACTCAAGAACTTATGAAACTACATTAAAAAAAAGGAAACTTCACAAACTACATAAAAAGAAAGGAAACTTAACCAACTACTTATGAAAAAGAAAAGAAACTTAACCTACTACACAAAAAGATGAAAATGCCACCTATAATTAAAAATTAAAAAGGAACCTTAACAAACTACATGAAAAGGAAAGGAAACCTAACAAACTAATAAAAAGAAAGGACACTTAAACAACTACATAAAAGACTAAAAAAAGCAGGAAACTTAATCACCTACATATAAAAAGAAAGGAAACTTAACCACCTACATATAAAAAGACTACAAAAAAAAAAGGAAATTTAACCAACTACATATAAAGAAAGAAAACTTAACCAACTACATATAAAAAGATATGAAACTTAACCACCTACATATAAAAAAGAAAGGAAACTACATATAAAAAAGGAAACAAACAACTAAATATAAAAAGAAAGGAAATACATATTAAAAGACTAAAAAAGAAAAGAAACCTTAACAAACTACATGTAAAAAAGGAAACAAACAACTAAATATAAAAAGAAAGGAAATACATATTAAAAGACTAAAAAAGAAAGGAAACCTAACCAACTACATAAAAAAGGAAATTTAACAAACCACATAAAAAGAAAGGAAACTTAACTAACTACATATAAAAAAAAGAAAGTCAACCAACTACATATAAAAAAGAAAGGAAACTTAACTAACTACATACAAAAAATAAAGGAAACTTAACCAACTACATTTAAAAAAAGAAACTTAAGTAACTACATATAAAAAGAATAAAAAAGAAAGGAAACTCAACTACCTACATATAAATAAGACAAGAAACGAAACCAATTACAAATTTAAAAAGGACACTTAATCACCTACATATGAAAAAGTAAACTGAAAACACCTACATATAAAAAAGAAAAGAAAAAAACAACTCCATATAAAAAAGGAAACTTAACAAACTACATAAAAAGAAAGGAAACTCAAACAACTACATATAAAAAGAAAGTAAACTTAAAAACCTACACAAAAAAGAAAAAA